TCCAAAAGATTTTTTTTCTCTCAAGTTGGTTTGGGTTTTATTTAAAAAAAAAATAATAATAATATTAAATGTTAAAAAGTTATTTTGTTAAATTTAACGTGAAGACAGACAATAATTTTTATCCTTCCAGAATACCAATTTATCGAATTCACCTTGAGGGGTTATTTTAAATTATTTATGGGAAAAAGTTCCATTTTCAAGCATTTTTTTTTAAACAAAATTGCAAAAATTATTAAATTAAATTAAAATTATTATCTTAAAGATATATGTAAGCGCATTTGAAAAATAATTTTAAATTTCAAAGAAAAATATTCATAACCCCCAATGTGATGTCTCGGAAAAAGGAGTATCTGCGTGGATAGTAGATCAGCCGATGTGAAATAAGTGTGATTTAGTTAACACCGTAAAATAGAATTTGGACAAGGGTAACAATTAAAGGTGAATAAGGATTATTCTTAGAAAAAATTAAAAGTTTTGGAAATAGCTGATATTGAAGAAAAATCCTTCATTTAAGTCCTACTGAGATGCCACCCGAGGAGCTGTTTAAAATTCCTTAAAGATCGGTTGAGTGATTTTCGAGCACCTTTGACAACTGACTTTCAAAACGTCAACATCAACGTCAACGTCAAACGTCAATCAAAAACGTTTAAAGTTTACGGCGCTGAGCCTGCCTGCCTTCAGCGCAAACCTAACCAAGGGTGTAAATCTAAAATCTTTATTCGGTTCGAGTCTTGAAAATTTAGGATAATAATCAATTGTAACTATTTAAATTCGAAACAAGTTGAAAAAATATATTCGATAAATTCCTTCTCTCGAAATCGTTTTCTATTTGATAAAATACTATCGCCTACAGGGGGATTGAGGTTAGACTTGTAGTGAGGATAGACCATATCGAATATTCATGTTATAAAGGGTGTTTTTTTTTAGACATGTGGTTTTCAATGAGGCAATATTTCTTTCGCAGTTGGTATTTTTGACAGTTGTTATTGTCTGCAACGTTTACTCTAGTGTATAATGCACATCTTCAGAGACACCGTATAGTGTGTACCAAAGTCGTTATGGCAGCGCTATGCAGTTAAGTATTAAAGAATATCCCGATGGTCTCGTCAGCAATTAGGTTCACGCTTTAAAAAAAGAAACTTTTGTTATATAAATCTTCACAGCCCTCCTTGAGACGTCACAATGTTACAGTCAATGGGGAAAGCTATAGAGTCATGATTATAGAATTTTTCGTGCGTTTCGTTTCTGAATTGGAAAATGTTGATGTGGACGAAATTTGGTTCCAAAAAGGTCGAATTACATGCCACACAGCCAACGAAACAATCAATTTATTTATGGAAACTTTTGATGAATTCACTATCTCGGGTCGTTTGCCTGTCGCGTGGCCTCCAAAATGATGCGTATGCGAAGTTATGTGAAGTCGCTTGTCTACGGAGATGAGCTCGTGTTGATTTACGCTTTGGAAGAGCATGTTCAGCGCATTGTTGCTGACACACGGAAAGTGGTCGAAAATTTGGCAAATCGACGGGATTTCATTCGAGCCAGTCGCGGCTGTTACTCGACTCGACAATTCTTTTCAGAACATAATGGAAAACCCTTATCTCTATTATAAAGCTAAGTTCTTGGTCGTAACATTAAATTATTTGCGTTTTTTTTTTCTTCCCGAAAACCACATGTCTTGAAAAAACACGCTTTATTGTACCACTATTGAGGCATAACCGTTTTAATTTTATATTGTATAATTAAAAAAACCACAATTGTTGTGAGAAAGCGATAGAATTTCAATTTCTTATTTACTGAATTTATTTTAAATAATAGATTATTCTACGATTTTGTTTTGATATTGCATATCTATGTCTTACACGCATAGACATACATATTTATTTGTGTTTTGTTTTTTTTTTATTTTTGTTTATGGCGCGTCTCTTAGTGTGGGGCGAGCATGGCGCAATTAGATATGCATACAACAACAATAACGAAAACTTATGTGGGTGGTGCTAACATATTGCCATACAAGACTATCCTGAATATATACATACATATGTATCGATATGCAATGCTTGTGTAGTTATGTACATAAATATGAATTTTCTGGAAACTTTGGAATGGAAAATTTTCATGGTGGAGGTTAAACTGCAAAAAGTAAATAGAAATATGCTTGTACGAGTATACACGTATAGAGAGGCCAGTAAATACTTTGTAAAAGAAAATTTATTTCGTAAAAAAAATTTTGAAAAATTAATAAAACTCTAAATTTTGAATTAATATTATAATAAATTTTAATACTCGCAATTATTTTTATTTCTACTCTTTTGTGTTTTCCTACGCCCAAATGCTTGTTTATCCTGTCATGAGATATATTATACTATGAATGCGGACGTTGACGGTGTTATGATTATTTTCCGTAGAGAATTTCAGAAATACTTCTTTAAATGTACTTAGAGTGAAACGTCCCCTAACGGGCATCTCCAACCATCGGACACTTCTCTTGACCGGATAGGAAATCTCGTCCCGGTGATGCTGGCTTATGGGAATTTTTCCTGTATATCTTTAAGACAATAAACTCAGTTGGAATAGAACATTATATTTTTATAATAATTTAAAAAAAAAAGTTTTTAAAAATAGATTACTTTTTACACCCTCTGAAGGACTGTCGTTTTACAGTCGTAGCGCTGAAAGTAGTAAAGGCTATTTCAAGCATGAAATTTGAGAAGTGCTGCGATGTTTCAGTGATTGGTAGCGACGCTGGATTAAATTTATAATACCCGAAGGCGTCCTATTTCGAAGGCGACAACAATAATGAAGTCGAGTTTAAAATTTTACTTCAAAATATGAATATTTTGATTTTGTTTGTTCACTAAATGCAACCTTAAAAGCGATTTCGTTGAGAAGTCACTACAACCGCATCTTGTTTAAATATTTAAAAAATTTGTGTATATCATTCATGAACATGTAAACCCATCAAAATCAATGCCGATCGGATCATAATGACGAATACATTTGATTTAGCCGTGTCCGTCTGTCGGTTTTTGAGTTTTTGATCCACTGGTACATTTAAACGACAATTCGTCGGGACTGGCTAGATCAAACTACTATAGCTTTTATACGTCCGATATAGAATTAATTACTATAATAAAAAATATAAATGGGACTGAAAATTATCGAAATCTAACGGCAATAACATGTGCCTTCCACACCACGCTTTGGGAAAAAAAATCCTTAAAAATGCATCTAAGTAGATGAAATTTGGTATGATACCTACAAATAAACCGAAAACTAACGAAATCGGAAAATTTCATCATACTGTCACCTACAAGCAATTTTTCGGATACATGAATTAATATTTAGTCCTAAAATTACAATGAAATACTATGAATTTGACATGCGTCATAGCGGAAGACAGCTCTTCTTTCTAGTTTTGTTTTAATCTAAAATTTAACTTTTTCTTAATTTTTTTTTTTAGAATTCTTAACTTTTTTTTACTATTTTTTGATTTTTATTTATTTTTTAACTCAAAAATTACTATTTATTTTTAATTTTTTTGGGCTTACTTTTTGGTTTTCAGTTCTTATTATTTTTAATTTTTATTTATTATTATTATTTTTTTTTTAGTTTTAGTTTTTTTGTTTGATATTTTATTTTTGCTCTTAATTTTATATTTTCATTTTTTTAACCCCTCTAATTTTTTTTTTGTAATTTTATATTTTGCTCTTAATTTTATGTTTTTTATCCCTTCTAAATTTTTTTATTTTATGTTTTTAATTCTTTTAATTGTTTTTAATTTTAAATTTTTGGTTTAAATATTTTTATTTATTATTTTTCTCTTTCATTATTATTTTTTTCATTTAAAACTTTATTTTTTCATTTTCTTTAACTTTTTTTATTTGTTTAACTTTTAATTTTTTTTAATTAACTATTTTTTATTTTCACTCTTTTAATTTTTTTTGTTTTATTAATTTTTCATTTAATTTTTAAATTAAGTTTTTTTATCTTTAATTTTATGTTATTTTTTCTTTTTCTCTTAATCCTAATTTTTTTATTTCACACTTTTAATTTTTTTTGTTTTATTAACTTTTCATTTAATTTTTAAATTAAGTTTCTTATTTTTAATTTTATATTATTTTTTTTCTCTTGATCCTAATTTAACTGACTATTTATTTTTTTATCATTTCCTTGCAGTCTTTGTTTTTAATTTTTTTTTTTAGTTTTAATAGTTTTATAATGCAATTAATAATTAATTTATTTTTAGTAATTATAATTTTTTTTATTTATATTTTATTGTTTTTAATTTTTAATTATGATTGTTTATTTACTAATTTCAAATTTTAATTTTTTATTTTTTATGATTTTTTTACTTGTAAATTTTTCGTTATTTTATTTTTAACAACTTTATTTTTTTTTTTGATATTTAATTTTTGGCTTTTATTTTTAAAATTTAATTAATTTTTTCATGTTTTTAGTTTGTAATTTGTGTTTTTAATTTTTTATTTTTATTTTTATTTTTTCATTAAAAATTTTTACCCAAAAACTATACCGCTACAAACTGGAAATTTTTCAAATAAAAATAATACCTTCGGTATGTTCAAAATATTTACAAAATTATATGGGAAATATACATACGCGCTATTCTATATATGTACATACATACATATGTATGTGAAAAGTTCTAAAAAGATAACAAAATTTGCACAAATTTTTGAAGAAAAATTTAAAAAATGTGTGAAAAATCAATAAATGACTTGTCAACAATATGCGAACAAGGTGTCTATTATTCATTAATGCATATATGTGCATATGCATGTATTTGAGTAGGTGTTGTATCTATATTCATTTATATAAGATTTGGTCGTAATTTTGATTTTTTCGCAAAATAATTTTTTTTGCAATTTTTTCAAACTTAATATAATAAAATTTGTTATTTTTATTGAACTCCTTATACCCAAATTGCAACTTAACCAACATGTGTAAGTATATATAAGCACACATAGAGCATTACGTACCTGTATTCTGCCATTGGCGGTGCGCTTGACATGCGACGTCTGATACTCGTAGTCGGTCTCAATGTAATTATCGCTGATTTGCACTTTTGGCGAAATGACTTCTAGACTTGAAACATCCACTTTCATGTTGAAATTTTTTTAATCTTTCTTTTTTATTTATTTATTTATTTATTTATTTATTTAGAGGATTTAAATGCTATTTTCAATATATTATTTATATTTGCTTAACGTTGGTGCTATTAAATTGCTTATTATGATTATTTTTTGTGAAACACAAAAACAATTTTCCTCGAAAAAAATCACGGTGGTTCTGACAGTCTTTTTTTAATTTTATATATTTTCCAGAAAAATATATTTGTATGTATGTATATCTTCCTTTAATACTTTTGCTTGAAAATTTCCTTGTAGACTATTGTATGTACATATATAAATATATGTATGTATGTAATTTCGAAATGAATTTTCTTCACACACAGCTCAGCACAGTTTGGCGGTTTTTTAACCAATGAACTCTCAATAAACCAAACGCTCCTATTTATGCGCATCACCAGCCGGCGTTTGCGCGTTCTCCAAAGCTGGCAACTTAGCTGTTGCAGCGTAATTTGTTGTTGGTGTTAGTATATAATAAGTATGTTTTTCGATATAGTAATTGAAAAGAATGATATATTTGTATATATGTTTGCACACCCTCGCCTAATGAATTGGGATATCGCGCGGTTTGCTTGCGTGCGTATATACGTACTTACATACATACATAGTGTATGTACATAAATATATAATATAATCGGGAATTCGTACAAATCTATGTAGGTATGTGCGAGTGTTTGGATTTTTTTGTGTTTTGTGTACGTATGTCTTTTGTAGATACATAAATATGTATGTATATACATATGTATGTATGAGTTCGTTTGTATCCGCACGCCAAACAATATATGGATACCGGCATTAATATTGGCACTACAACACTAGCTCGTGCCAGCGCTTAGCCGGCTCTGCAATAGCTTGCCATGCGTTCGCGCAAAAAATTCTTGTTATTTCGCATTGTTTTTGCACATTCTTACGGCTTATGAAGAGAGAAGGTAAACATAAAAATAAATTTTTTTTTCGATTTTTTAATAACAGAATTTTCGGGCGGTTAGTTTGTTCTTGGAGATTTTCCCTTTAGCTGTTCGGCGCCCAGTGGAGACTCCAAGTGAAATCAGGTCCATCTCTACCTGGTACTTACAATGGAGTGGACGTCATCCTTTGCATCTTCCACCAGCAGGTAGTGCATGGCATACTTTCAGCGCTGGAGTGTTTTAATTCATTCGGACGACACGTCCTACCCGCTGTCCCTTACTTACTAATTTTACGGGTTTAGACACCGCTTACGCGATTTTAGCCGAGTCCGCAACATTACGCAACATTCGTTTCATCTCTTTGGTGTTTGGCGTCAAAGTAGAAATACCAAGTACAGCCAGGTCCTTCCAACGGAGTGGCGGTCTCTTTCTTTCTCTGCCTCCACCGGCGCGTACTGCATTGAAAACTTTCAAAGCTGGAGTATTCGTATCCATCCAGACCATACTAGCCATACTAGCCAGCGTAGTCGCCGCTTCTTGATTCGCTGAACTATATTAATGACACCGAATTTCTCATACAGTTCATCGTTCCATCGCCTGCGGTGTTCGCCCAAGTCCATAAGTAAAGCACCATAAATTTTACTATAGATTTTCAAGTCACACTGATGTAAGCCCAATGGTATTCGTTGACGGTGGACTTTAATATTTTATCACAATATGCTGCAGAGGACCTTGCATACGATATAGAAGAGACTCAACCACTATAATTTGTTGGTTCCCTCTTTTTGTGGATTGTACAGAGCACACCTACACTCGAACATCTCCGTGGGTCTTACAATAGATTGTTACGGTCTGGAAACCTTCTGTAAGCCACCTTATCTTTTCGTGAAGCTTTCGACCATATTACCCCTGCCGGCCTGGTTCTTCATACTGGCGCATGCCTACATCTTTTCTGTTTCTGTTTCTTCACACAACGTGATTTGCGGTCGGTCGCTGTGTCTATTGACAGGCAGTACAGAGGCAGGTGAGTATCTTGGCTGCGAAAAAATAGTTGCTCTGATCGATATTCGTACTTCGGCTCATACAATATATTACAATCTGGACGATTTGGTTACTACGGTCATCTACCTTCTACAATTTGGCTTATCTATACATTTGATTTTCGGCAAGGAATTTCCACCCCAGCGAGCGTATTTCGGACATGAAATAAAGGCTACTCATAAAAAAACTATCAGCCCCTTCGGAGGAGGCTTAGTATAAACTGTAGGTCCCTCCATTTGTTGGAAAGACATCAAGATGCAAAACCACAAATTGGAGGAGGAGCTCGGCCGAAAATCGCGACTGCTGTGAAGTTTTCTCTTCAACTCAAAAAACTTAAATAATAAATCCGCTCTGTTTTTCCTAACAATATATGTAAATATGTATGTACGCCTTCCAACATATAAACACTCATATGTACATATGTATATTTGTATCCTTTATGCCTTGGTTTTCCAGAGCTTCGTTTTATATTTAAGGACATCGTGAAATATCAAAGTTCAAAACGCCCGAACAAAGGAAAATATATATTCATAAATGAAGGTACACATATACATATATAAACATGTACATATTTTAATTATATATGTATTTCTGTTTGAAGATTTTCATATAAGTATGTAGATATGTATTTACACACAAATTAAGAAATATATTGAGTAACATAATATTCCCATGCACAAGCCCATCTTTTCTTCCGCATACAACTCCCATGTCAATTTACATATATGTATACATACGAGTACATACATACGAGTACATACATATGTAGTAGGTACTTATGGCATTTGTTTTGCTTACATTCTACCAATGTCTATGCTCATTTACTCACATGTGCCGCAGTCCTTCTGCTGCCCCCACCACAAACAAGCGAAATGGAATCTTCTAGAAATGCGTTTCACAGCTGACTGAGATTGAATGAGTCCGTATGTCTCAACGTCATCATCAGCTGATGGGATTCACTTTCATTGTGCGATTATAGCAAAAAAAGCTGTCTTCGGCCGTACAGAAATCTTTATACCTTTCATGAATTTATCAAATTTATGGCAAAATGAAAAATTCGATTGCGATGATTTTCAATACCAACATTTATTTGTGGATACGAATGTATAATGTCAAATTTCATTTCATCTAAGAGCATTTTGGGCAATTCTTTGAACCAAAACCTTAGATCTGGACAAATCGGTTGTATGTTGATTATAAAGAAAAAATTTCCCCCGACTTCGATGATTTTCGGTGAGAATGTTTGTCTGCATAAAGATGTGTAGAATACCGAGTTTCATGCTCTTAGCTGTTTTTCTCACGGATTTTTGACCTAAAACCTCTCATCTAAACAAACCGGTTGTATAGGGGATATATGTTATTGTACTCCGATTTCGATGATTTTCGTTGGCAATGTTTATTGGTAGATACGTTTGTGGAATACCGAGTTTCATGATCATAGATGCCTTTTTGGTGGAGTTTTTACCCAAAACCTCCCTCGGTTGTATGGTAGATACCTATGTATATGATATAGTCTTCCGATTAATGATGATTTTCGGTGCAAAATTTCATGATCTCTGCTTTTTTTTTACATACATTTGGTCTAAAACCTAATATCTGAAAAAATCGATCGTATCTTTACTATAGTGATCCGAACTGACCGGTTCCAAGTGACCGAAATGATCGTTTAAATGTAACAGGTCATCTGTGTACCCAAATTAGTTGACATTTATCAAAAACTGTAGGACTAGTTTGGGTACAAACTAGACGGTCGACCACTCAACTTGTCATTCTCAGCCAATCGATAGAGATTTTGATGGATCTATGCCTTGTCCATTTGGTACTTACATACTTGAGACCAAGGTTTATATCATATTTGATGTACATGAAAGGTATATTAATACATACATACGCACATATGAACATATACGTACATATATGCACATTTGATAGAATGCAGACATACTAACATATCGACATACTACTATTCCACTAACTAATGTGTCCGCCATGTGTTCAAAAGACGATCGGTTTCTTTAATTCCTAGCTACATATGTACCAGATATGTATGTACACGTATGTACGTCTGAGAACTGGTAATATTCCACAAGTCCAGCTCAATTGAGCCGTGTTGTGAGTGCATATGGAAATTTACCGTGCGTAGTTTTTAATTTAATTTTTTTTTTTCACTATTTAATATTTTGTGTGTTTTTGCGCTTACAAACAAATATGCAAATTTCATATAAACAACCAATTATAAACACATATATGTGCATACATATGTTTTGCTGAAGCTGAGAAGATTCGCTATGGCGTGCTGATCGTCAAAGCGCTCACCGCCAACTCTAACTTGTTGCATGCCACGTCATTGATGAAGCTCGGTTTTTTATTCTTTATTGGCTACTGGACATATTTTCTCTGTCTTCGCTAGATGGTTCTGGATATTTCTTCCGCTCTTGCGAGACACAAGTTGAAGTTGAATGGTATTCCATTAATTAAATGCAAGGCGCGCACATCTAGTCACTGATTACACCCGAGTTGACTCATGGCAATCAATTGTAGTTGTCCATACAAAAGAGAAAATAATAAAGAGTTTTGTTTTGAAGATACTAGTCATTGCTAAAAGATAAACAAGTGGCGTGGATGCGCACTGAATTCGACATCGGCCTCAGAGATGGACTCCACAGTCTATGATGGTTGGTTGATTGATTGATTGAAAGAGGTGGTTTAAACCCTTACACTTAGCAACTCCAGATTCTTTAGGCTTCCCAGCTTTCCCCGACTTTGTGTGATGAGACAGTTCGCACGTGTTCCTCCTTCCATTTGTAGTTTTGCGTCTTGATGTTTTTCTAACAAATGCTACAGTTTATATTATACTTAGCCGCCTCCAAGCGACTAATGGATTTTTTATGAAAAGCCTTTATTTTATGTCAGAAATACACTTGGAGGGATTGACATTTCCGACCGAGGGACGACGGCAATTAAAAAATTTGACTTATTTTTTTATTTCAATTAATTTTCTATGACTTTTGGATGTTGGTCGCACGGGGATTGGAACCCAAGCCTTCCGAATGGCAGTACGAAATGCTAACCACTCGACTACCGCGGCCGGCGTGGCATTTCCAGAAGTCCGTTTCGTGCTCTTCTGCTTCTTCGTGCTGCTCTGGATTCTTTCTTGCCTTTCGCTGAGAGCAAAATAACTGTTTGATCTCTCTGAAAATCATGCTGCCCAACAGAGAACGTCTGAAGGCGCAAACGGCACTGAAAACCTCATCCCAAGGCATCAGCGCGAGTCAGCTCGTCCTCCTTATCATTACTGTTGTTGTTGTGTAGCGAACCTGTTTAGGAGCAATTAAATCGTCCAACGAAAGGCCCAAAAAACGCGCTGTTTCGACCAGTTCAATTCAAAGGAAAGAGCATGTT